AAAGAATTTTGATGAAAATTGAGAATTTAGCCCCAACATGGCTTCCCCACATCTCTGCCCATATAATCTACACACTCTATATTCCAACAAAACTATTACAAGGAGAAAAAAATTAAGTAAGCAGATGTATAAAAATTTGGCATTTTTAAACGTTAAGCAAGTTTACAGAGTGAGTGACAGGAAGCAACATTGTATCACCTAAGGAGGTGTTCTACTAAATCTAATTATATGCTTACAAGCAGCAGAAAACAAAAAGACAAAAGCATTAAAATATTTAGCATCAAGGACTGGTGAACGTCTCCTAAAAAACAGCTTCGTTATCAGAGCAGCTTATTAACCAATATACATTGGAAATTCACCTCCTGAAACAGAAAAATAGCATCCCTCAACACAACAAAAGTACACTATCTATCATTAAAGATACCATGCCTGTGTCCTGAGGAGAATGATCAAAAATCAGTTACAAATGATGTCAAAAAATTTAGTACAGATATACGAAATAATTTTCATTACTTCTTAAAAAATGTAAATATTATAGAAATTGAATTGAAATAAAGTTTTTGTTATTACTCTGATACAAATGAATAAAACGTATGTAAAAGCTATTCAACATGTTCTCACCTAATTCACATCTAAAACTGAGGCATTATAATGTTTTTAAAAGTTAACTTTTCTACACAGTAAAATACATGTTTACAGTAATTTGCTAAAATCGTTTAAAATGCAGGGAGAGGGTTATAGATCAAGTGGTAGAGTACAAGCTTAGCATGCATAAGGTCCTGGGTTCAATCCCCAATACCTCTTCCAAAAATAGGTACACTTAGTTACCTCCCTCCAAAATAAAATAACTGAATAGTGCAATAAAATAATTAGAATGGGTGAGTATAGAAATCTACAGTCAGTCCCTTTTCATACTTACAAATACCAAGTCCTAAAAATTAATTGAAACATTAAGCTTCATCCCTCTGTTTTTCTTCATTTCCTTCACTGAAACTTCTGTAATACCATCACATGATTCACAGATTAATGTGATACCCTACAAACTTATCTTCTCACCTTTTACTTGGGAGTAAATACATGTATTCCCATAATACATATCACTGTATTACCAATTTTTCCCCACAAATATATCCCACATTTATTTTCCAATAACCTTTAATACTTATCTTTTCAACATAACATCTAAGCCTTTATATTCATCCAAATATTTATCTTACTACTTTTTAATAAAAGTCCTCTACTTGGGTCAGGTCAGTTTCCTCAGCCTCCCATCCAGCAAATTACCAATAGTAACCTAACGTGTGCTAGGGCTTGTGCTCAGTGCTAGGAATGCAAGAATAAATTGTATGCAGTCCCTGTCCTCACAATAGAGAGAAAAATCCCTAAAGTAAGGTCAGAGAATCTATAAAATATTTATTTTCCAATGAAGTATAAAAAGAAATTATCAGTAACCTAAAAACAGAGGAGTGAGCATTTAATAAAAATTAATGTTGTATGATAGGACATGGACTGGCACTAGGAACCCTACCTGGTCCATGTGTCAGGTACTTTCTGCCACACAGGGCACCACAATATCCTACGAGGAGTGTGGAGCGGGACAGTTCCAGAGTGAGAGTGAGGAGACAGTTCCATCTTCACTTGGCTGTCCCTCTCAGCATAGTCAGCATCTTGTGACACATTGTGACTTATGCAAGCTCAGCTGAATGAACGAAAACCTTACCTAGATTTAACTAGAAGTCAAAAATATACAGGAGGCATGACATGGGTGCTGTGTGACAGGTGAACATCTGACACATAGACCAAGTGAGGGTATCAGTGCAAACACGTTATATACCAGCAAGCATTTATTCCTAGTAAATGTCATTCCTGCAAACAACTGAAAGAATGAAGATAGTATCAATAATGTAAGCACAACAACAAAATCCAAACAAAGGCAATGCAAGTAACTTACTTCTAATACCAAAATTTTACCAGTTACATTATGAAGTAAAATCATGGCAATCTAATCAGATATGACAAATCACGCCCCCCAAATCAAATACATTCAGAAACCAAATAAAATACAGATTTATATTTGCTTTTGTTAACAATAAACCTTACATTAAATGTATCCTGTGCTGAAATAACCTAATGTGAGGGAAGAAGCTATTCTGATTAGCAAGACATTGAAAAACCAAACATCTTGAACATGGAAGACTAGCTCTAAAAACAGGAGTTGGGATGAAAACTATCAAGATCCTCAACAATGTACTTCTTCCATTTAAATTTACATGTTTTCTAAGGTAGAATTAGCTTTCATACCTAAAAATTAGTATCAGAATATACTGAATATGGACTTAAACCTTTGAATCACTGAATCAAACAAAAAAAAACAAAATTAAAAAACCAAATGAAGCACATTAAATCATGTGGTTTCCTGAAAAATGTTTTAGTTTTTAAATGTTAATGTTTTTAAATGAAGCATAATCACATTGTTTACCTAAATATTACTGTTGGTGAAAAACATTTAATGTTATTTCATGATTTAAACATTTCTAGTTTT